TCCAGAAAAGCCTAAGTCTTTCTTACATTAGAACAGCTCAAAGAGCAGCTCAGAGAGTAGAGGTGGTGCAGCATGCTAACCCTCTGCTTTGTGGCATCAGCATCCCAGATGGGCACTGGTTCATGTCCTGGCTACTGCACTTCCCATCCAGCTCTCTGCTTATGGCCTGGGAAAGCAGTGGAAGACAGCCCAAGTCTTTGGGACTCTGCACCCACGTGGGAGGCCCAGAAGAAACTCAGCACTGACCTTTGCAGCCATTTAGGGAGTGAACTAATGGATGGAGGATTTTACTCTCTGTGTAAAATCTGCCTTAAAAAAAAAAAAAAAAAAAAACCTCAAAAATAGCTCAGAGAACTTTACCCAGCAAAAATAAGGGAAATCTACCAAAAGACAACAGCACAGTGCTTAAAAGTACTAAGGTATTAAGAACCATTCAGGGCCCAGCGCGGTAGCGCAGTGGTTAAGGTCCTCACCTTGCACGCCCGGGATCCCATATGGGCGCCGGTTCTATCCCGCCTGCCCCACTTCCCTTCCAGATCCCTGCCGTGGCCCGGGAAAGCAGTCCAGGACGGCCCAAAGCTTTGGGACCCTGCACCCGCGTGGGAGACCCAGAAGAGGCTCCTGGCTTCGGATCTGCATAGTATTGGCCCGTTGCGCTCACTTGGGGAGTGAATCATCGGACGGAAGATCTTCCTCTCTGTCTCTCCTCTCTATATATCCACCTTTCCAATAAAAAAATAATAATAATAATAATAAAAATAAATCTTAAAAAAAAAAGAACCATTCAAACTCAGGGCACTAGCCAAGAATTCCTTCAAACACTGGCCCATCAGGGAAGTCCCTGGTCTATTTAATGGCTAAGCACCACAGCACCCTGTTCAGCTGACTGCTTATTTGGATACAGCAAGATGAGCCCTGTCTGCCAAGATTAGCATCTTTGGAAAGAGAGCTTTTAATGCAACAGTTACTGAACACCGTGCTGCTACACAGTCAGCCTAGCCCAGACATTTAGTAGGAAGTACATACAAGACAGAAACTAAATATCTAGCCTTTGCCAGCCAGGACCAGGATTAGAACCTAGCTGCTCTTTCAGCTTTAGCACCACGCTCTTAATTACTCTTCACCTTTAAAACCAGCGGGACTGGTGTTGTGGCATAGTGAGTAAAGCTGCTGCCTGTAATCATAGCATACCGTATGGGCTCTGGTTGATGGTCTGGCTTTTGGATCTTCAGATGCAGCTCCCTACCAACAGCTAAAGAAAAGCAACTAGGCCTAGTGCAAATGCTCAGTGGCTCAACTTTCACCTCACACACACACACACACACTAGCAACCCATAAGGGCACAGGTTTGTCTCTCAGCTGCTCCTTTTCAAATCTCTCGCTCTGCCTGGGCCATGGGAAAACGTAGAGGGTGGGCTAAAGCCTTAGGACCCTGTATCCATGAGGGAGACCTGGAAAGAAGCTCCAAACTCCTGACTCCTGGTTTTCACATTGGTTCTGCATCTTTCTCTGCATCTCCTTCTCTCTGTAACTCTACCTTTCCAATAAAAATCAATAAATCTTAAAAGAAAAGCAGCCAAAAATAGGCCCCTGCAACTCACATGCAAGACCTAGAAGAAGCGGATTCCTAATTTCAGTTTGGCCAGCCTTGGCCATTGTCGCCACCTGGGGAGTGAACCAGTGGACAGATCTCCTTTCTGAAACTCCGACTCAAATAAATAAATCTTAAATAATAAATAAATTCTTGCAAACTCCTTACCATACCCTGCAAGTCTCCAAATGATTTGACCTATGTTTACCTCTCAGACCTCATCTGCTACTACCCACCTTCCCAACTATCCAGACATGTAAATTTCATTTCTACCTCAAGGCCTTTGCACCTGTTATCTGCGATGTCTAACACACTCTAGCCCCATGCCTCACCTAGCTGGCTGCTTCTCCTTATGCAGGTCCTACATAATGACAAACGTCATCCTTAAGAACTCAAGAACATAATGTTGTGGATGTTGAGTATAGTGAATAATTCCACAGAGACAATGTACAAAAAGGAACTAAGCCATGTATGGTGTAATACAGGGATGGGTTATCCAGAGGCAGCCAACGCAAGGAGCACCAGGGGACTCTGCATCACTTTAAATGGCTGGTTTTGTGATCCGGTTTTCCTTGTCAAAGTATTCTCAGTCTGCAAGAGTCATTAAGCTGCTCACTTAAAATATGCACATTTTTAGTGTATGTGTTAGCATATTTCAATTTTGTGGAAAAAAAAAAAAACACTTTCTCAAAGGTTCCCCTACTCATCACAGCAGCCCGTTAAATGTCACATGAGCCTGGGTTCGGGTCCTGCCTTTGCTCCCGATTCCAGGTTCATACTAACGCAAATCCTGGGAGCACCACATCGGGGCTCAAAAGGCTGGGTTCCTCCTCCACCCAGTCCAGGAGAGACCCTAGGTTCAGCATGGCTCAGTCCCAGCCACTGCAGGCATTCAGGAAGTGAATGAGCAGATACATAAATAAATGGTCAAACACTGCCTACCATGTGCATTACTCCCATATCCCAGGCCCAGGAAGAGTTCTACCAGATGGTACAGGCTAAGCAAACAAGTACAGGAAAACATAATACAGGACGAGAGAGAGAGGCCTTTCGAAACACAGCAGAAGTCAAAAGTCAAGGCAGTGAAGCTAACGGCAGAGGCTGAAAGGGAAAACACAGCACCACGGCATCACACATCAGGAATACGTGGCAGGTGTAAGGTGAAAGGCAAGCACTGACAGGAGAAAAAGTGTCATTCCAGGAACATCTTTGGAAGACTAGTTATTTCTCAAAGCAGCACCTGGATCTTTTATCTGTATAACCAACAGCTTTTCACAACTCCTGGTATAAAGTGGGTTTGGGCCAAGAGCAACAACAGGTTTCTGAGGCACCTGGTGAGGGTTCTCAGTTTGCCAAGGAGTAGACTACGTTCAAGTGTGATATCTGCTACGGGCAAGAGGCTAGGAGGGAACGACATCGCATCAGAGTTACAAGGAGCCCGGATCAAAAGGCTCGTTGAATGTGAAGAGAGTTGCTTACAGAGGAATGAGCAATATTAATTTATTTTCAGTATCAATTCACAGATGCACATGGAGAAAAAAAAAATGTTCCAGTGACTTAGAAGTTCTATAGCCCCTACTTGGTTAGACAGATTCACTTAGATGTTGGCAAAACGTATTTTCCTAAGGAAACCTATGTTCACCAGGCAACGCCCTGCTGCAATGGAAACTTAACTGCAAAGCAAACTTAACTCTGGAATCCGCTCGGCCACAACACTCTGTGACCTTGACCACCTGGCTGAGTCTCCCTCAGGGTGACACCCAGGAAATGACGTGATTAAGACTAGATACTTGCTAATCCCCATTTCCAGTTCTTGAACACTGTGTACAGTTCCTATCTTTAGAAAACCATTCTCCTGTTCTAAGCTTTGTGTTTACAGGAACGCAAGTCATCCACAGGAATGTAAGTCAAAGTAAGCAGCCAGAGTCTCCCGTGGAGAAACCAAGGCTGTCTAAGCCCAGCCACTCTCTCCTGCGTGTCAGTGCAAGGTCCCATCTCTCGATTAGCAAAGGATACCTGAGCTAAAAACTTTGCATTTTAGGTTTCAACGCACAACAATTACCATTTCTAGTTTCTACAACCCTAGTTCCCTTCTTCTCACAAGACTACACTCATAGTTAGCACTTTAGTTCTTGGGGGTGTGCCTTTCTTTCTTAATGTTGAAATAATGAATCTGAATACCTGGAGGTACTCTGCTTACTCTATTACAGTTATTAGTGATTTTAATTAGACAAAGCTTGCATTCCTTTTGCTAGCCCACCATACTGTCAAATGCCTATTAAGGGACATTACAGTAATAAGGATTATCACCTTTTAAATTTACATTAACAATATTAGAGGAATGGTGAGCCAGGGAACGAACAGGAGGGAAAATAAAGGAATCTCATAGTTGTCTTAATTAACCAAGGCTTAGAGTAACTCAAAAATCATTGGTAGCCTACTTTTTTGTTTTTCTCTAAAACTGCACTATTGCATATCCTGATTAAAACTGTATGAGTGAAAATTGGTCTCTCATCAATTAGAAATGGGGGAACAGATAAGGCTGTAGCTGCCTTGGCTGAGTCCCAAAACGTCCTGTCTTTTGAAGGGGAGAAAGGTGACCCACAGACATGAAGGCGTGGAGCAATCCAGAAAGTTCTCCGAGGCACCTCCAACTCCGAATTTCCCAGGAAGCGCTTCTAACCGGTTAATGGGAAGCGTGCCCTCTGCAGAAAGTAAAACTCACTTTAGACCAAGTTCCCAACGCAGCGTCCACCTCTGGCCCTCTTCAGTTTGGTTCTCCACAAAGCAGCGAGAAACTGGACAGGGACAGGGCTCTGACAGGACTAATTTTATCCGAAAGGGGGAAGGCCATGCCTGCCATTTTTCTCCCAACTCCAGCACTGTGGAAGTCTGCCCCGGGGCAGCCTGCAGCAAGCGCCCTGTGAGAGGCACCTACACCAGCGGCTGCCGTTTCCCAGCCTGTCTACCACGTGGCTTACCACGGGCGCTCCGGGGCTGAGACAGTTCCCAAACCCAAACTAACAGCGCTCAAAACGAAACCTCAGCGCTCCAAACTCCAGACGGAGGAACTTTTCCTAAGAAACTTGCATCCAGCACCTCCTGGGACCTTGTCAGGCAACGTCCCCGCGAGCTGGGCACCCACGTCCACAACTCCAGAGACTGAGACGGACACGCGCTGGAGGACTCGGGGCTGCTGTCCACCTGGCAGCCCCGCACTCGAGCACAGGGGGTGTTGGTCCTGCGCCCGGAAAGGGACGCTGCACCGTGCTGTGGCCCCCCGACGTGCCCGAGCCCGAGCGGCCGCGCGCCTGGGCCAGCAGGGGAACACAACAGAACGAGGGGGAAGCGAGGAGGGTGCCGCTCCCCCACGCCTTTCTAACGGCACCTGTTACCGGGCCGCGCTCACCTGGAACCTGGGGGCCAGGAGCCGGGGCCGCAGCCTTAGGTGTCGCAGAAGTTTCCCGGCCTGTGCTGCTACGGGGGACGCCATCTTAAACAGGAAACCCGGAGCGGGGGAGCCGGGTTGAGCGCGGGCAGGGGGCGGAGACGCAGGGGCGAGAGGAGGCGGGCCCGGCTGGCCTCTGGCTCCTGGGCGCCGCCCGGAGCTTCTGGAGACGCGCGCGCGCGCCGCAGGGGCCGGTGAGGCTGACGGGGCCCCGGGTGCGCCCTCCTCGCCGTCGGGGAGGCTCGGCGGCCTCGCTGCGATGTCTCACTCCCACCCCGAGCCTTGTCCCCCCCCAGGGACGGATGGAGGAGCGAAGTGTCTGGCGGCGAGTGCTCCAGGAACTGCCCCCCCGAGGAGCTCCTGTTTTGTGTGAGAGACAACTTACCCAGTCCTGAGGTCACAGAGGGAGGATGTCCGAACTGAGGCGTGAAGCAGTAGGGAGACCCACAGTCCAGAGGACCAAGTGCAACAGGAGCGGTGGGTGGTGCGCTTAGCTCCTAAGGTCTCGTTTTTAACGTAATCCAAGATGATAAAATGCTTTTTAACAGATTTCCAGGCCCCAAATCATTGATAATGACACAGCAGAGGTTAAGGTGGACCTCCGGGATGGTAGGCTCTCTACAAGTCGTGAAAATGAACACAGCAAACGTGCTGAATGTGCGCCTAGCGCTTGGCAAACAACTCATTTAGTTGTTTTAAGTAGTTACAGGTGCTTTAAGTAGCTACAGGTGTGAAGTCTCCATTTGCGGAAGAGGAAACTGGGGTAGGGAGCAACTGCTCAGAAATCTGATGAAGGATGAGACCCAGATTCTTCAGCCCCCACCTTAAGCACTGACTTAGAAAAATGTTTAAGCCTCACTCATTTCTGAGTATGTATGAATACCCTTTAGCCACTCACCAACTTTTTTTTTTAACTTTGGCCCATTTTCTATTCTCGGTGAGGAGGTGTACATTTAGATACGTTGTAGCAGGTGTTTGGCCCTGTGGTTAAGATGCTAGGGCCAGTGCTGTGGCACAGTCAGTTGGGCTGCCATCTGTGCTGCCAGCATCCCATATGGGTGGCAGTTGGAGTCCCAGCTGTTCCACTTCCTGTTCCATTTTTTATCATGCTTCTAGGAAAAGCAGTAGAAGGTATCCCAAGTGCTTGAGCCCCTGCTGCCTGAATGGGAGACCTGGATGAAGCTCCAGGCCCCTGGCTTCTTGGCTTTGGTCTGGTCCAGTTGAGGAGTGAACCAGCAGATGGAAAATACTCTCCTTCTCTCTCTCTCTCTCTCTCTCTCTCTCTGTTTGCTCTTTTGAACAAGATAAATCTTTAAGACGTAAGCACCCATGCTGGAGTGCCTGGGTTTGATTTCCTGCTATTAAATTCAGCTTCCCACAAACACAGACTCTAGAAAGCAGCCAGGATGGCTCAGAGTAACTTGTTCCTTGCCATCCACGTAAGAGACTTGCATTCAAGTCTCAGCCTGTGACTTTGGCTCAGCCAAGCCTTGGCATTTCAGGAGTTTGGGTGGGAAGCCAGCAGATGGAGGGGACACTATCTCTGTCTTCAAATAAATATTTTTAAATAGTTCGGTATGCGCGCCTGACAGATTATAGCCCATTCCTTGTCAAAATTTTACCTGTTACATTTAACATTCTTTGATGATTACTGCTTGAGTAAAGTGTTGGTATGATAATTGCAAATGGCAATTGTCTAAGAATTTACACATTTGCTAGTTTGCCTGCTACTGTGAGACAAACTTAACCTTCTTTAGCCTTTTCTTTTTCACTTGTTTCAATATGGAATCATGTTCTTTCTTACTCAGTGGCCAACTTCGGCTCTTTAGTGTTACAAATACTCGGCTGTCTTTGGGTATCAATCATTTATTCCTCACAGGCTCCCTGTGAACGAAGTCCTATTTCTATTTCTGTTTTTGCCTTAGAGAGCAGAATCACAGAGAATCCCATACCCAACATCTACCTCTCTCCAAGATCCTGTGATTTTTCCAGGATGGGATCAGTTTCTGGGAGGTTACAATCTTACCAGTTTGCTGCAAGCTGTCCTTGTTTCAGGAGTGGATTTGAGTTTCTATCACATTCATTGTTGCCCCTACTGTGTCTGCCATCTGGCCAGCATGGAGCAAGACCTGTTGGCAATATTTGCAGCGTGAATGTGGACGCTCAGAACACATTGCCAGAAGGGGGAAGGCCACCTGTGGAACTCATCAGAGGCTATTTATTCACACCTTGTTATGCTCCCAAAATCAGTCATTATCATTTGCCTTCCAACAGAGTCTTGAAGGGGTTTAAAGAGACAGTTTATCACATAGAGATACAGCAGAAACTTCAAAGACAGTTTTTGGTGGATGAGTATTTTAGGATTGGATTGTGGCAACTGGGCTGGGAGAGACTTTCAAGTTGGTGCTCAAGTAGATCTGGTAGTTGTGAGTGGATCCACTGCCAATGTGTCACTGGCAGCTTTCCCATCAGGATGAGATCAGAAGGGTTTTCCTGTGGCAACCTGAAGACTGCCCAGTCCTCCTCTCTGGAACCCAACTCTCTTTTAAACAGTTCCTTCCTTGTCTTCATGCATCAACTCTCATTCTGCTAGAGTTTGAGAAAGGGGCAGAAGGAAAGGGAACTCACCATGCATGTGGTATCTCCAGGGCTGGGCACAGGACATGGAGGATGGGATTTGAGAACTGAAACATTCTTACTGAGTTCCTCCTGAGATGACTGCCTGTTTCCTTTTGGTTTTTATTTTTCCAAATAAGAAGCTCTTTCAGGACAGGAAACTGGATTCCATACAGATTTCTGTATTTTGCTTTTCAAAGATCAGTAACTGGAGTGGACTCTAATCACACCTCTATTCCATTATACACTTGTGGCCTGGGGAAGTACCTGCTGTGCAGGGTGCTGACAAATAGTGTGTTAAACACAAATTACAAAAATTAAAAAAAAAAAAAAACACACACACACACACACAAAAGCACAAATTACAGTAGGAGTAAGTTTTGGACTAAGCTCCTGTACTAGGCTTCTCAGTCCATAAGAAAAATGGAAATGGCATCCCTAGTGCTAAAGATCCACATCACGAAAAATAAACTTTGTCCTTATCTTACCTTCTCTAGAAATGAACACTCAGAGATAACAGCCAAATTTCCCAAACAGGCTTTTACTTAATATGGTAATGAAGTTCCCTCAGCCTTCACCCGCACTACGCGCGCACACACACAAAAAAAAGTCATCTGAAGTCAGCTGACTTTAATCCCTGTCCCTGCCTTATAAACTTTTTTTGCTCGTTGTTTCTGCTGTTGTCTGACAAAGCAACTTCATCTTTGCAGATCTTCTTAGTGCTTACTCTGGTTTAAGCCATGCAATGTTGCCTGTTCTAGAATAGAAAGTAAAAGCCAATTAAGATGCTTCAGCTAAACTGCAGTCTTGCCTTTGAGAGCAGTCAGTGAGATGTGTGTGTCAAGGATGGGCACACAGAGCGAGGGCTTGGTGACTGGCTGTATCCTGTTGGTTGTTGAACGGGACATAACAGAGCCAATCTGTGATAAGGTTAGAAGCTCCCTGACACTCTGTAACAGAAGGACTGCGGGGATATAGAATGCAGATGAAAGCACCAGGAGCCAACAGTATTTGCCTCCAGGAAAGGGGTAGAGGAATGTGGTCCCAGAATTCTTACATTGTATTGTACAGCTTGGCAACTTCAGATCTCTGGATTGTTACTCTACAACAATTGCTGCTTCAGAATCACTTAGAATAGGATAACCTCTTAATGGAGTGCATTAGTTTGAGAATTTACAAAATGAAATCACCAAACCGTAGTGATGAACTCTTTCAGAGTTTCCTGGTCAGTTTCTCTATCACTGAGTTTCTAAATGTAGGACAAAAAGCCCCAAGGTGATGGCTAAATAATACTTTCAAAGAGCCTCAACCCATCCGTCCTGTTCTACCAGTAGTCCAAGCAGCAGCAACAGGCAAAAGCAAAAACAATGACTAAGAATGAGAGCTCTTTTGTGATTTCCTTATTGTCGAAATTGCAACTGTGGGAACTGCTATTGTAATGCAGCAGATTAAACAAGCATTCCTTGTTGGAATACTAAATGACGTCCCAGGTGCTCCACTTTATTTTGTTTTTGTATTTTTTGTTTTTAAAATTTTTTTGCAACTCAAATTTTTTTTTTACATAGTTGAAACATGCATGCCCATGTGGGCCTCAGATTCGGGTGGGGAGGGATGAAGTGTGGAAGAAGATGGGTGGGATTAATGCTTCAATTATTTTTTTTTCTGTACCATATCCTTGGAGTGCAGGGAAGAGAAAAGAAGGTTGCTCCTTGTTGTCAAACTACATCAGCACCCAGGGATGGGGGATGGTCATTTGATGCCTTAAAAACCCCAATACAGTGAAGCATATTCCAAGGGTGTAATTTGAATGAATTTCATAGTTCTGAGACATTATTAATTTCATTATGCCAGGGTTGAGAAAATGTTTTCAAGGTCTATTGGTTGACAGTGCCCACCTTGGTGCCTCCACAAGATACAGACACTTGCTGCAAAGCTTGGCCGGGAAAGCTGTCCTGTCTGCTTTCCATCCTCTGATGAGGCCCTCAGTACCCAGTGCTGGGCTAGATGAGATGGTTGTCATGTCCTTTGTTTGCATCTGTGTATGCTTTTCTTCTGCATTGGTATTAGAAACTGAGAAGGCCAAGACCCAATATGAGCACTCCAAGGCCATTCCACGTACTTGTGGTTTTCTCTGTGGCCAGCGGTTGAGTCCATGGCTCTAGTTAGGAAATGCCTTAAGAAACTCGGCCTGGGATAACCTCAGATTTCACTCTTGTGCTTGCCAGCCAGTACAGGGTCACTTTAGGTCTGTCACCTTCACCAGCCAATGAACATACCAATGGATGCAGCTACCTAATCAGACCGACCCACAACTCCATCTCCCACACAAACTGATAGGTGCTACAGTCTAGCCCAGGCCAGCCCAGCCTGCCAGAGGCCCAGTCTTCATACTCACTAGTGGGTGCCTGTGGCTTAGTCACAGCAACCCCTGATAACACCCTCCAAGCCCAGG